ATAAATATGTTCATGATTGCGAAAAGAAAATAAATAAAAGGAACCTTTTTTTTGAATAATTTATATTATTTCAAGAGCCTAAAAATAGCCTAAAAATGTGGTGTAGTTGTTTTTAGAAAAAAGCTCTAAAAACCGAGGTGCTCTGCTGGATTCGTTTGAAGGTAGCAAAAAATACTTTTTTTTTTTTAAAGTTATATATGGTTTTAGGAGCCTAAAAATGGCTTAAAAACGTAGCATAACTAGTTTTCTGAAAAAATAATTATAAACCGAGGTGCTCTGCTGACTTTGCTCCAACAAAGCACCCTCTATTATTTAAAAATAGCAATTTTTTAGTAAAGTTTTATAATATTTCAAGAGCCTTAAAATAGCCTAAAAATGTGGTGTAGTTGTTTTTAGAAAAAAGCTTTAAAAAACCGAGATGCTCTGCTGGATTCGTTCGAAGCTAGCAAAGCACTATGTATTCTTTTAAAAAAAAAATTTTTTTTTAAGTTATATATTGTTTTAAGAGCCTAAAAATAGTTTAAAAACGTAGCATAACTAGTTTTCTGAAAAAAATAATAAACCGAGGTGTTCTGCTGACTTTGCTCAAACAGAGCACCCTCTATTATTTAAAAATAGCAATTTTTTAGTAAAGTTTTATAATATTTCAAGAGCCTAAAAATAGCCTAAAAATGTGGTGTAGTTGTTTTTAGAAAAAAGCTTTAAAAAACCGAGGTGCCCTGCTGGATTCGTTCGAAGCTAGCAAAGCACCCTGTATTTTTTAAAAATAACCTTTTTCGAAAAGGTATATAATATTTTAAGAGCCTAAAAATAGCCTAAAAATATGGTGTCGTTGGTTTTGGAAAAAGCTTTAAAAACTGAGGTGCTCTGCTGACTTCGTTCGAAGCTAGCAGAGCACCTTGATATTTGCAAAAAACGATGAGCATAAATTTTTTGAATAAGGTATAAAAATAGCCTTAAAATAGCCTAAAAATATGGTGTCGTTGGTTTTGGAAAAAAGGTTTAAAAAACTGAGGTGCTCTGCTGACTTCGTTCGAAGCTATCAGAGCACCTTGATTTTTGCAAAAAAACGAGGAGCCTAAAATTTTTGAATAGGGTATAAAAATAGCCTTAAAATAGCCTAAAAATGTGGCATATGTTTCAACTCAAAATTCCCGAGGTGCTTTGCTGCCTTCTTTGGCATTTCAAAATGTGCTCCATTGGTTTTTATTCATTATCATTATTTATTATACTATATTATTTTATGATTAACAAAAGAGAAAAGAATTATTTCTCTGACTTAGATACAGTACAAAATAATAGTACATTATATACCTAGGGTGAGAAGTGAGCTATTATTTACTGAGCACTTTTATATCCTGAGGCGCGTAGCGCCGAGGGATATAATGTGCGAGGTAAATAATAGCTTTCTCAGCCGAGGTATATATAGAATTTTTTTTACTACTAACATTAATGTATTAGCAATTTTAATTTTGACATAAGTAATTTCCTAACAATTTGTTAAATATTTCGAAATATTAAGCAGACTGGAGCGTGTTTCTAATCAGACTGGCTTTATTTATGTAAAAATTTGGCATGTGTCAAATTTTGGTATGATTCTAGGAAATATCCCATTGCATTTTTGATATTTTAATGACATGGATTTATTGTTATTAATTAATAATTTTTAAAGCCGGTGTTGAATTTCCTAGTTAATATATATTTTTACTATTAACACTGATATATATTATCATATTTGATTTGATTAGATTTTAATAAACCCCAGGGCTGGTATATCTAAGGGGGTCGCGACATAGACCCAGTAAATGGATGAGGGGGTGACTGAGGCTAGGGGGGAAATAGTAGTCAGCTTAAGTTGGCAACACTTTTCTGACGTTCGTTTGAACGAGCATCGAGCATAATAATGTCAATATGGTACAAGTGGAATGAACCACTGTTTTCCTCGTAGTCCAATGTCGAATTAAAACTAAAAACATTTTGTACTTTTTTATATACCAAATTATGCAATTTGTTTCCATTTTATTTTAATGTTACATGAATAGGTACATGCGTTTGTGCTGTGGTAAATAAGTGTTCATGTGAAAATTATCTCTTAAACTACATTGTGATTGCACTCATCTCAAAACTGAATGCTGTAAATCCAGGATTTAAATCTTTCATAGTGTTGCTTGGGATAAATTGTAAAAAAGGTGTTGGACAAAACGTTTACAACCTAAAATTGCATGAAAAACATGATAGAAGAAGGAATTTTACCTTTATGACATTCTCTTTCAACATTTTTAAGTGACTGTGGTTTGGTGAATGGACTGTTACCACAGTCAAAAGATTCAAAGTAAAAAAAAAAGTGACCAAGTTCTAATAAGAATACATAAGTTGAATATGAAAATGTAATTACTTGATTTAAATGTGATTTAATTAAGAGTTAAATAGAGGTTTCATATAAACAAAGTGCTGTAAAATGTTAGTAAATGCAAAACCATTATTAAAGAGGAATTAGTTATCATCAATATTTTGTAGTAGCTGGTCTCTATAAATAATAAACTTGAAAGACTGAATTAGTAGTCAGTTTTACACTAGAAGTAAAAACAAAAAAAAATGTGTGGTTGAGACTAATTTATGTATTTAATAAAAACATATTTAACATAAAAACAGGTGTTATTTGAAATGTTTTATTTTAGTTTAATAATCTTTATAAATTGTGGGTACATTTGATCTGAATCTTGCAAAAACTATAAAATGCATATGCTTCTATATGGTTAGTATTGGAGTAGAAGCACAAAAGTTTTGAATAAAAATATAGATACCGGAATATTTTGCTTGATTACTAAACTTTGGATGTTTTTGTTGTAGTCTGCTGTTAACACTATTGTCCTGAAATATTAAAAAAGCTAGACAAAGGTTTGTCCAACTCTTTTGTCAGCTTTGTTAATCTATGCTACTGTTATTCTGTATGCAGACATTTTTTACTGGAGATTTTCTCTAAGAACTGTATTCAGTTTCAAATTTCGGCTAGTTTTAGGAAAGTACCTCTGTTATAAAGGTATTTCAAATCCATCCTTTGTAAGATGTAGACAACAAATAATACATGCTAAAATGTATAGAAAACAAATGGCAAGATATTACACAAAATTATTTAAATTAACTAAAAACATACAAATGAAGTGAATAATACCTACCAACAATTTAAAAAGACCTAAAATAAATAGACTTAAGGGACTGGAGCTCTAAAAAAGGGAGTAATAATTTGTTATGCATTATCTATAAGAAAATTGTCTTCATGTCTTCAATTACCTTTTAAAATAAACAAAACTAAAACAGCACAAAATTGAAAGTGATCTACTTTTCCCGACGTATTTTATGTACATTTGAGATTAATAATTTATTAAATTGAAATATTTTATCCTAAAAAATATGGGCATTTTATAATGGAAATGTCATTTAAGAAATGACATTGATTTTTTTTCTTATATTGGTAAACCTGGCGACTACAAGTTGCCACGTTGCCAGATCAATGGCGACTACTATTTCGAAAAAAATGGCGTCCAAAATGGACTCCTATGTCGCGACCCCCCTTAGATATACCAGCCCTGATAAACCCAGCTTTAGTTATTTCCTACTTATTTTTCAAATATTTCAAAATATCAAGTAGTCTGGGAGTTTAGTTGTCAAATTAACAAAATGAAACTAATGAAATTTAGTTTCATTATTTACCTAGGTTTTTTTTTATTATCATTATTTACCTAGGGAGAGAAATATTACTTCTCATTAGAGGAATGGAGTAAATAATGGTGATTTCTCATGTTAGTAGTAAAAAAAATAAGTTAATGTACTAACCAATCAAATAATCAAAATTTATAAACCTTGTAATAAGTTTTATAATTTTTTTATTTACCAAATTCAAAATTTAACATGTGTTTTTTTTTACTTTTTCGTTATTGATAGTGTGTCTGACAACAGAACATGTGTTCCAACACAACCAAGTTTGCTATTGTGTTGGAACAAACCTTGATGTCCAAATTGAACGCTTGACTGTTTTTGAACGATCCAAGACCAAATTGATAACACTCGTTTTGTTCGGAGCGTGTTTCCTGAACGTGCTCCAGGCGTAAAGGTAAGTTGGAGTAGAGTTTGTATTAGTATTCTTTAGATTAATTCCTAACTATGTGGTACATAACATAGCATAAATAAAATATAGAGGCACCTATTTGCTTTGCTTGAAGAATGTCAGAATAGAATGTAGAATCTAATATAAAATTATCACAAGATGCAGTAACGGTAATAATAATTGCCCTATTGGTGAATAGTTCCTACTAGTATATTGGTTTTCAATTTAATAAATAAAAAATAAATATCGTGCGTTCTCGACTCCTACTGGTACCATTTACGAACTAACAGGAATAATTTATTTGACAGATTACGGTGTTAATTTGCATAACGTAGATGTTCTGTGTTTTAATAATTATTAGAGTCAAATAAAATGTATTAAAAAATAAAAAAATCTTTTTGTATTTTTTCCTTTGGCTGTGACTTAAATTTGATTTAAAATATATCACGAAACACCCTGGTAACTCTATAGTTTATTTAGTAATAATATTATAAAATAGATGTCTAACAAAGGGTCTCAAAATTGTCTGGCGCCTAGGGCCTCATGTTAGGTAAAACCGGTCCTGGGCAAATGTATCCGCTCCGTCTTCAAACTACTGGCACATACTAATAATCTTTCCTCCATGGCACATACGAGCTGCATACGAGCCACAATTACGAGCTACTGACTGACATTTTACTTGTAAATGTATCCTCAATCTGCAAGCTACTAGCCATAGATAAATTAATAATTTTATTAATTTATCTATGCTACTAGCCCAATTTTATTACATGTGTTAGCTACATAGACATCATATTAATCTTTGGTTAGCTACTCCCGATCTAGGCAACCAGTAACACATACCATCTCATTATTGGTTGCCTCACAACACCCCAGATATTTCTTAAAGATTTGCTTCGATGAACGCTGAGTTCACGTCTATTTTTTTATAACTGTAAAAGTTGCGTTTGCGAGTGTGGGGTTTCAAGTCGCGAAGTCTATTGTAAGGTGTAAAAGTCCAGTTTGAAGAATGCAAACGTGAAAGAAAGTATATTCGGTATTAGAAATTATAATTTATTACATATAACAATAAAATAGTTACCAGCAACAGGTGAGAAAAGAATGAAAGTGATTTTTAGGGAAACATATTTTTTAAAAAGTGAAAGTTTAAATTTCAGCAGCCTTGTTATTTTATTGTAAAAGATTAATTTATCGATTAGTTTATTAGTACAGCTCAAGGCAAGCGTCTTTACTTTTCTTAAGTTCATTTTTAAATCCTTTCTGTAAGTCATATTCCTTTTTTCATTGAAAATATTACAATTATAAAATATTCTTTAAAACAAAGAAATTTTATATCCTTTTATAGTGTGCATGTGTGGGTTTTCTTTTTGCATATCCTAGTTATATAATTGGCAAAAATATATTTGGTTTAATTTTTGCAGATAAAAATGAAATCCACGCTAGTGTTCTTATTGTGTTTCGTCATAGTTTGTGTATTATCTTCGAAAGATATGTTGAGGAAAAGTATTGTATTTGATAAAAATACTCCAGATGTCTTTTACTGTCCCATTCACAAACCCACTGGTTTTGAAAAACTGATTGTAAAGTAAGTATATTTATTAATCAACTAAACACATTTTTAAATAAAATTACGAGTAATATTAATGTTCATCAAATATTTCTTAAAAAAAAAAAAAACCTAATTATAAAATTGATTTAATTTTTACAGTAATACGTGATTCATTTTTATAACTTTAACCTAAGTAGGTACTTGATGGTTATTACTTCTGAAAACTTGTTTCCGAAATTGTCTCTTGTCTCCCACATATGCATACAAATATGGGCTGGTGCCGATTCATTTTTTTTGCAAATAAATTCATGTACGAGGGAGATTCTATAAATTAATTCAGAAATATTTTCGCATTTTTTTTATAGTATACAAAGCACAGATATATTTCAAATATTAATGGCAAGGTCTAATATAATTTTTGGCTTAATTAATATTTTCCTGAAAGGGCATATAAACAGTGCGTCCACGTATTGGCTACATAAGGAACATTTTTTTTATTAGGTATTAGTTTTATCAAAAAATGTATTCTTTAAAAAAAGTTCTGGGTAATCTTATAGTTGACGGGTCTAGAATTGCGCATATTCACACCACTCGGGAGTGCGTTTAGAAACCACGCACGGCGCGTCTGGACCCTATTCTAATGTATGTGGTGAGACGCGCCGTGAGGGGTTTCTAAACGCACTCCTGCACTGACATCTAGAATCTGAATTTGACACAAATTTGAATATTGTAATTATCACTATTGAAAGGTATTATTGACATTAAAAATAACGATCATATTTCTTGAAAATCTTCAGAACATTTTTTTTATTTTTATGGGATTTTCAGTCGATGTAAAAACTGGTAAATAGATGATTAAAAGTAAAATAGTTATTTCAGTCTGCTTGTTGGAGCCGACTCTGCCCATCGCCTTTTTTCACGTTACTATAGTTATATGTTAGATTTTGTCAGAAATGTAATGTCATATTTTCAATATACAGAAATTAAATTTGCATTTTTAATTCATTTTCACATTAAAAGAAAAGTACAGAAAAGCAATACAGTCACAAACACATCCACTGCTTATTCCCTGGTTCCAAATAATTAAATATAATCTGACAACTATATGTAACGATTCCAACTGTCAGAACTAGCCGGAACAGGAATAGCGCGGACAGGCGCATTTCCAGACCCTTCAACTACAATCAGATATTAATTTTTTTAAGCAGTACACGAGGTGCGTCAAAAAATATAAAAAGCGTATTTTTGACAAACCACGTATATACGACTGATAAAATTTTTAACTTTTATTATTAATTTTAAGAAAAAAATTTAGTCCTCATAAAAAATTGTTCATGGTCTAACTAAAACCTAAAGTACAACCATTAGATATCAAATTTTATGAGTCGTATACGAGGATTGTCAAAAATAAATGTACTTTAATTATTCTTGAGCAAAACTTATATTTTTTGACGCACCTCGTATACGGCTAAAAAATTTAATATCTGATAGTTGAATTATATGTTTTAGATCATGCCCAATTTTTTATGTTCTAAAATTAATAATAAAAAAGTTTTTCATATATGTAGCCAACTTATGTAGTATATTTGTACAATTTTTACGAATATATTTTTATTCTTTTATTTTCTTTTATAAATCAGAAAGTAGCACAGCAAATATGTGGCGTTTGTCATGTTAAATCAAAATATGCGGCGTTGTGCCCTTTTAATTAATAACACACGTTAGGCCCTTATTCCATTTTGCTGCTGCATACTATTTTCATCGTACTATCGTACATAAAAAAGACTAGTAGAATCACTCGGGCAGAAGTCGACAACAAGTTCCTCTCTATCCCGTCTAAAAACCCAGGGTATCCGGCAGGCGATGAATATAGCTCTGTCACTGTTCATATAGCCCAAGAGCCCACTGCAAATTTTGGCTGTCCCGAAGGCAGCATGTAAAAACATTGTTATTTTAGCAAATGAAACCTGTGCCAATCACTATCAGTGGCGGCTTGTGCATAAGTGGAGTAGAGCTGCAGAACTACCAAAAGAATGCAAGTATATCGTCTACATTTCACAGAAATTATTTAAGACATTCTAAAATATAGGTACGTAAAATTTAATTTTAATCAATAAATGGTGTGTGTGCACTTCACCGCTTGGGCCATTCGCGCTTTTCTTCTCCATTACTTGTTCTAGTAGTCTTGATAGGCATATGCCTGTCAGAAAATATTAATTAACAAGTTTGCGAACAGCGAAACAGTATTTTGATCACTAATAAACTAACGTGTTTTAAAAATTTTAAAGTAGAATTGTTCAATTCACATTTTTTTAAATTTTTGATCAAAATACTATTGCCAAGAAAGTTTCGCTGTTCGCAAACTTGTTAATAAATCTTTTTTGACAAGCATATGCCTATCATCAAGACTACTAGAACAACTAAAGGAGACGAAGAGCGCGAACGGCCCAAGCGGGGCAGTGCACACACACATTTTCTATTTATTGATTAAAATTAAATTAAAATTATGATATTATTAATAAAATCTATTTTTCGTATCGTTTAGCATGTCTTAAACATTTTCTGTGAAATGTAGATGAGTTACTTGCAATTTTTTGGCAGTTCTGCATCTCTACTGCACTTATGCAAAAAGCGCCACTGATCACTATCCTGAGCAAAGTAGTTAAAAAATACCAATAAAAATAGAATTCAATACAACGATTATATGGTTATATTTAGAAGTTTTCTAGAAAATAACATATTCAAACATTTTTTGAGTACATCCACATGTAGCACAAACACATTTCGGTAATATTTCAAAAATGCTACATTGAAACATTTGTAATGTATAAATATTACGAAAAATCCCAGAAAAATTTCTGAAATGTGCCTGAAACGTAAAAATGTCCTGTAAATATAATATTTCTGAAATTAAAATTTGAAATCTTTTAGAAATATTGTAGTAGAATCGCAATCGATACGAAGTAATAAATCAAAATTTTATGGAAGTTTTACAGCACAAGTTTGAGCGGGCTTTTAATATATGATTTTTTAACTGTTTTTAGATGTAGATTGTAATGAATTCAACAAAATTAAAATACTTCATATAAATAACTTACTTTTAAATGAACAAAAATCTTCATCTACGAAATGCAAGAACACAATAGAAATTTACTGTTTTCGCATGTCGACCCTTTTATAATTGCCCATTTGCTCATTTTATTTTTAATAAGTACTTTACGGTTACCCTTCTTTGGAAAACGATGAAATAAACTTAACGATTCCGTTTTGATTTAAAAGTACAATCTTTATTACAGCAACATAGATACAATTTACTGGAGGCTTTTCCGCAAATTTCATTTTTATTAATAAAGACTATCACAGTCGTCAATACTATAAGAAATAAACAAATTTAACGGTCACATACAAGAAAATTTCAAATTAATAAAAATTACTATCGGTAACAACAGATAACACAGTTATTTATGTATCAAGGGCGTAAAACAGGTGTGTTTATGGACCGCAATGTGTAAGTAAGAGCCCAAGCCGCTAGGCGAGGGCTATTTACACGTAAGGTCCATAAATGCTGTTTACGCCCGAAATACATACAAAATTTTATGCACGACCCTTTCAATAATAATTTATTAACAAATATATACGGTGTACACGACATACAGGGTGTTGTATTTTTGCCTGGCAAATAAAAATTTCTTTTTAAATAGAACACCCTGTATTTTATTTTATTTTTAGAATGGTTTTTTAGTACTGTATTCAACCCTAAAATGTTTTTAAAAATATTACAGTGTTGCCGGGCAATTAATTTTTGTTTTGAAATTAGTTAATGCAGACCCAAATTAAATTATTAGAATTTAGGTAGGTTTACATTGATTTAATGTACAGATTTATAAGCTACTAAGCTAACAAATAGTGGTTATAGAACTGTTTTTTTTATATAAAGTGTGAAACCAAGGGCGTAGATAATCGGGGGGTAATGGGGGTAATTACCCCCCCCCCCCAAGCCATAGTCAACATCATTATTTTTTTAAACATTATATTAAATAAAAATAGAGAGATAAAATAAACACAATAGAGTTTCTCAAACATTGTCATCTAAAATAATAATATTTCTGCAAATTGAAAATTAAAATATACCGGGTGTTCAAATTAAAGTGTAATTATTAAAAAAGTTTTAGGCAAAAGTTTTATAGTTTTTTGGGGTAAACATTTTGACTAAATTCATTTTTTTATAGCTGACCATAATATGGCCATATCGAGGTGAACTTTTTTTTTCAAATTGGTACCCCCAATTTTTACATATTCTCAAAGTTTATAAAAAAATAAGAAACTAAGGGAAATATTTTTTTTATTGGACTTCTACTTATTGAGTAACACCTACTTGAAAATTTTGCGGCGCGAAAAAAAGTTGGCCATATTATGGTTAGCTATAAAAAACGATTTTAGCCAAAATGTTTTCCCCAAAAAACTATAAAACTTTCGTCTGAAACGTTTTTTTATAAATGGCGGTATTTAACTGTAACACTTTAATTTAAACACCCGGTATATTATACCGGGTCCCATTAGTGCGTAATTGATCAATATTTCAATTTGTGTTATAGACACCCAAACAAGTTACAAAGTTCTAAATAAAAGTTATATGGATTTGAAAAATACATATTTTAAAAATATTTTTGGATATACAGGGTGTTGCGTTTTTGCCTAACATAAAAATGTATGTTTCCTAAATATAACACCCTGTATTTTATTTTAAGAATGGCTTTGACCCTAGAATGTTTTTAAAAAATATTACAGTTTTGCCAAGGAAGTAATTTTTTTTTGAAATTATAGTATGATGCAAATCTCAAATTAAATTATCATAATTTAGGTAGGTTTACATTGATTTTAAAATTCTTTATTATACAGACTTATAAAATACTAATCTAACGAATAGAGGTGATACAACTGGTTATTTTTTACAGAGTGTTTTGAAACAAATCTTAAATATGACTAATTTTAGGTTCAATTTACTCAATTTTTTCAAACGCAACACACAGTGTATA